CATTGGCGGTCAGTGAGAGGAGCACAGTATGTGGTGGCCCTCCAACTGTCTGAGGGACAGTGAACTGGCCCCCTGTGTAAAAAGTTTGGGGATGCCTGTTTTAGCCTATCTTTTTAGGGATTTCCTTTGTGTCTGTTGCATAGCTTAATTTTGGAGAGACATTGTGTTAAAGCTAGTAAGGCTTCCACTCTCTGCCAAGTAATGTGTGGGTGGGTGGGTGAATGCATTTAAAGTTGCAACTAATACTCAAGTCTCATTTCATTTTTACTTTTTGTCATACTCTCTGCAATTGGCCATATATGTATGGAGAACTTATCTCAAACTTTCTATGACTCTCTGCTTTCTAGGAACTCTCTTTGTTGTTGTTGTTGTTGTTGTTGTTGTTGTTTATTTTTTAGTTAATCAGGTTTTTCATTTATTATAGTGAAAGATACAAAGCAAAATTAGCAAAAGAAGAAAGGTGTATGTGGTAAAGTATGGAGGAAACCAGGCACAAGCTTCCCAGAGTCCTCTCCTGTGGAGTTACAAGGATGTGTTTATCTTCCTCAGCATGAAATTTTGACAGCACATGTGCAAAGTCATCTACCAGTACCAGAGTCTCCTTAGAAACTCAGTACTCAGGATTTTTCAGAGGTTACTCTCATTCACATGTACCAGAATTCCAGATTCCCAGAAGAAAAACAGCTGTTCAGAGTAAACCACATTGTTGGTATAAATAGTTTAGGCACAGTGAGCTACTTTTCTCAGTGAAAGAATAGGAACTTGTAATTGGGAAACTCTAGACTTGCATGTGGGTCTTTCTATTTTTTTTCTTCTAATTTTACTTTGAGTTCCAGGATACATGTATAGAATATGCAAGTTTGTTACATAGATGTACATGTGCCATGGTGGTTTGCTTTACCTACTGACCCACAGGATCTCTCATTTAAATTTTTGTCTTGTCTTCCACTTGCCCTGAGACTGCAACCTCGGACTAGCAAACCTGCAATTCTCTCTGTTCATTCCCGAACCACTCTGCTATATTTAACTGCCACTGATTTCCTCCCTCTGCTTCATACCAAATCCACCCCTGCCCCCAGCCATAACAGGAAAGCTGCTGGTTTTTACATCTAGCTTCATACTGCTAAAGCTAGTTTTTCCGAAGTGAGCTTGGGGATGAGAAGAGGGATGGGAATGTATTAGTCTGTTTTCATGCTGCTGATAAGGACATACCAAGGCTGGGAAGAAAAAGAGGTTTAATTGGACTTACAGTTCCAGATGGCTGGGGAGGCCTCAGATCATTGCAGAAGGTGAAAGGCACTTCTTACATGGCAGTGGTAAGAGAAAATGGGGAGTATTCACAAGTGAAAACCCCTGATAAAGCCATCAGATCTTGTAAGACTTAATCACTACCATGAGAACAGTATGGAGGAAAACCACCTTCATGATTCAATTATCTCCCGCCAGGTTCCTCCCACAATATGTAGGAATTTTAGTACAGTTTAGAATGAGACTTGGGTGGGGACCCAGAGCCAAACCATATCAGGGAGCAACCCCAGTCAGGAAGGGCTCAGACTTTTACCAATACTACCCCAAACCCTAACACTTTTTCAAGAATAAATGCTTCTTAATTTGATAACTGCCTTTGATTAGTCTTCAGGGTCCTGAAATGATTGTTTTTTGGTATTTTGTGCAACTTTAGCGGGGAGTTTTGGTGTGGAAATAAATCGCCAACCTTATGTCACCTCCTAACCTTATCTTTATTCCTCATGTCACCTCCCAATCTTATCTTTGCATCCTCTGATTAACAATTTTCATTAGTAATGCATCACATAACCAATACTTGTTTAAACTAACCTACATTTTACCAGTTTCTTTGCACATTGTTCCTTCTGTTTTGGTTCTATGTCATATTTCTAAAGTGTATCTTTCGCTAGATTTTTTCCCCAGTGAAAAATGGCATGTGTTGCTTAAATGTATTTTTTTTGACAATATATTTCATTTGTCTTTAGTTTGAGTGACAGTTAACTGGCTACAGAATTCCACATTGAATAGATTTTTTTATCTCTGTACTTTGAAGACTTTCATTATCTTCCATCTTCTATTGTTGCTATTAAGATTTGAGAATCTGCTCTATTGTTTATTCATTATGATTAATCTGTCTTTCTCCATCTAGACTAAACGTTTAAGATTTTATTTTTGTCTTTGGTAGTCTATAGTTTCTCAACATTTTATCTAATTACCTATTTTTCCTTAATCCTAATTAAAACTCATTTGACTTCCTGTGTCCAAATCAATAAAAGCCATAGTTAATTTTGTATATTAGTTGTGTTTTAGATCTTTTTTCATAATCTAAATCTCTCATTTTCCATCTTGTTTTTTTTTATGCTATACTCTGAAGTAATTTCTATCACTTTGCTATGTTTCTCTCTTCAGCCATTTGTACACTGCTATTTGGGGTACTTAATGGGTTTTTTTGGTTAAGTAACTTTTAAAGTTTCTTTCTTATGCATTGTATTTAATTATTTTACAATGCTTTCAAGTAATATTTTCTTCTCATGTCTCCAATTTTTAAAAATTGTCTCTCTTCCCTTTGAAAATATGTATTTTATAGTGTCTGTCTAGTGGTTTTATTAGCTGAGGTTTTTAGACATCTAATCCCATTCTTTGTTGTATCTGTTAATTTTTCCTCATGGAAGATTTCTTCTGAAGTTCAGATTCACTTGGCTTTACCTTTGAGACTTCATGCAGTCTGGGATCAGGAGTGTCTATTATAGATTTTTTGAATTTGCTAATTCAAAGAACACATCTACTAAGTGTTGTAGGGATACTTCTATGCAGGGACACTTTTATGGTAGGTTTAGGACTTTGGGATCCCTAACCTGTGCATATAATGTAAATTTAAGCCCTAAACACAAGTTTATTGAAGCCAGTTTTACATATAAATTCTTAAAAACGACTTTGCCACCCAGAGACCAGCTAAGGCAAACTGCTTTGTCTTCTCAATTTGTTAGTAGGATGACATTTTCTGGTTCATACTTTTTTTTTTCGACAGAGTTTCACTCTTGTTGCCCAGCTAGAGTGCAGTAGTGCCATCTTGGCTCACTGCAACCTCCACCTCCTGGATTCAAGTGATTCTCCTGCCTCAGCCTCCCAAGAAGCTGGGATTACAAGCATGTTCCACCACAACTAGCTATTTTTTGTATTTTTAGTAGAGACAGGGTTTTGCCATGTTGCAGGCTTGTCTGGAACTCCTGACTTTAGATGATCCACCCGCTTCAGCCTCCCAAAGTGCTGGGATTATAAGAGTGAACCAACGTGCCTGGACTGGTTCATTCTTTTAGCAAGAGTTTAGCTTTCCAAGGCTTCCAGTTTTGCAGGATGACAATAATCAGAGAGGAGGAGGAAAGAAACCTTGTTCTAACTTTCTGCCTGGAGTGAGTCAAAATCCTCTTTTACTCTGACTATTTCTATAAAGCCAAAAAAGGGGTCATAGCTAAAAAATGCATGTAAGCTGTTCTAAGAACATTAAAAGCATTAGCAATTAGGATTCATAATAAATAAAGATAGCCATTTAATTGGCATATGGAAATTTAACATGTCATTGTCTGTCCTTTACAGAAACCTATGGATTTCCTGTGAGTAGCGCCTAGTTGCCAGAAGCAAGATGTCTAATAACTTGTGCTACGAATCTTATCTACTTCTACTTCCTACACATAATCTAAGATACTTTATATTTATTCCCATCTCAGTTCATTTATTCCAGCCAGTACCTCCTCTAATACATTTATGTCAAATATCAATTGATTTATCCTTCCAATACAAAGATTTAGTATGTTCCTGTTAAATGATTTGCCACCCTGACACTATAATCTTCAATAGGTTGTGAATTCTTATCACAGCCAGTCATCCTCTTATTTTCCATCCTGATGGAAAAGCTATCTTAAAATATAAGATGAAGTAAATCTCATCATATTGGCATGATGTTTTTAACTGTCATATATTAAAATGGTTAGCATTTTCAAGAGTTCATATATAGGTTTTATTTTTATTGTATTTATTTATTTATTTTTTAGACAGAGTTTTGCTCTTGTTACCCAGGCTGGAGTGCAATGGCGTGATCTTGGCTCACTGCAACCTCCGCCTCCTGGGTTCAAGCAATTCTTCTGCCTCAGCCTCCCGAGTAGCTGAGACTACAGGCGTGCGCCACCATGCCCAGCTAATTTTTGTATTTTCAGTAGAGACGGGGTTTCACCATGTTGACCATAATGGTCTGGGTCTCTTGACCTCGTGATCCACCCGCCTCGGCCTCCCAAAGTGCTGGGATTACAGGTGTGAGCCACCGCGCCCAGCCTGTTTATTTATTTATTTTTGAGACTGAGTCTCGCTTTGTCACCCAGGCTGGAGTGCAGTGGCATGATCTTGGCTCACTGCAACATCTGCCTCCCAGGTTCAAGTGATTCTCCTGCCGCAGCCTCCCAAGTAGCTGGAATTACAAGCATGCACCACCGCACCTGGTTTATTTTTGTATTTTTAGAAGAGACGGGGTTTCACTATGTTGGCCAGGCTGGTTTCAAACTCCTGACCTCAGGTGATACTCCTACCTCGGCCTCCCAAAGTGCTGGGATTAAAGGCATGAGCCACTGCACCTGGTCCACATATAGGTTTTAAATATTTTTAAAATAAAAACACTTTATTTAAAACCTATCTCATAAATTGATAGGTTATTTGGAATATATGTATCATTTCTTCTTAAATATATGTATCATTTTGTCTTAAATGATGTATCATTTCTTTTTAAAATAAACACATTTTGTTTAAAACCTGTCTCATAAATTGACAGGTTATTTGGAATATATGTTAAGCAGATATCTCTTTCACCAAACTAGTAAGCAATGTTGGTCTACATCATGTATCATTTTACAGAACTGGCTATTAGTATATATGATAAAAGAGAATTGATCCTTTGTGTATATCTATGTCATGTAGATATATAGCTGTAGTCTTTTTTTGTATTTCAGGAGTTATACTCATTACGATTTGGTGTATGACCTGGTCAATCTTAGGCTCAGAAGCTCTCCCTGGTGGAAATTTGTTTGGATTGTTAATTATTTTTTATAGCGCCATTATTGGGGGAAAATTTGTAGAACTCATTAGAATACCTTTAGTGCCTCCACTTCCACCTCTTCTTGGTAAGTATATAATTAGCTCTCTTTTCTTTATTATTAACTATATGCAAACTTTGAAAATTTTCTTGTTAAATTAGATATAATTCAGAAATATTTCAATGTAGTATGTTTTTTATAGTTTCTTCATATATGTATTTACTCTGTGTGTGTGTGTGTGTGTGTGTGTGTGTGTGTGTGTGCGCGCGCAGCTCCTTTAATAGGTGTATTTATTTCTCTCTCTGTCTATGTATATACACACACAGGTTTTATCCAAAATTTATCTTTAAAATAAACTTAATATCTTTAGTATATTATTCCTGTTGCTATATTGTTTAATAGAATTTTAAAAAATTTTAGATTCACAGGGTACATATGCAGGTTTGGTACATGGATATATTGCATAATGGTGAGGTTTGGACTCTAGTGAACCCATCACCAAATAGTGACTACTGTACCCAATAGGTAATTTTTCAGCCTTAACCTTTCAACCCTCTCTCCTGTTGGACTCCCCAGTGTCTATTATTTCCGTCTTTATAACCATGTGTACCCATCGTTTACCTCCCACTTCCAAGTGAGAACATGTGATATTGAATTTTTCTGTTTCTGAGTTATTTCACTTAGGATAATGGTCTTCAGCTCTATCCATGTTGCTGCAAAGGACCTGATGTTATTCTTTTTTAAGACTGCGTGGTATTCCATGGTGTATATGTACCATGTTTTCTTTATTTAGTCATTTAGGTTGATTCCATGTCTTTGTTATTATGAGTAGTGGTACAATGAATGTATGCATGTATGTGTCTTTATGGTACAATGATTCATATGTTGAACCATCCTTGTATTTCTGGAGTAAAACTCATTTAACTGTAATGTATTATGTTTTTGATGTACTGCTGAATTCAGTTTGCTAGTTGAGAATTTTTGCATCTATGTTCATGAGGGATATTGGACAGTAGTGCGTGTGTGTGTGTGTGTGTATGTGTGTGTGGCTTTGCCTGATTTTGATGTAATGGTAATACTGGATTCATAGACTGCATTAGGGAGGAATTCCTCTTCCTTGATTTCTTGGAGTAAGTTTCAGCCACCTGTGAACCTGAACTAGAATAAGTGGATTGTATAATGAATAAAGGAATAACTACAATACAAATGCATGACAATAAACAATGTGATATGAAAGCTGTCTGCCAGCCTACAATATTTGTAATTGTTTTTGAACTGCATGATGAGAGGAGGTGCTCCTTACAATTTTCTCTTTGGAAACATTTATTCTTTGATGTTAACTGTCACCGCTATAACCATGATCACTCATGGATTCACCAAAAATCAGGTAAGTAATTATCTTACTTGTTTTTATAAATCTTTCTAAAATGTATATAGAGCTCACATTTATTTCATTGTTTAGTACTGGAAGTGTTTTGTGTCTGTATTTAGAAGTTTGGTGATGTTTTGTGACCAGAAATATTCTATAGGAAATTGACTCTTGTTTGTATCAATTAGCCTATGATAAAATTGGTTTTGTTTTATAGGTCATTTCCAATAACCTGTAAATGTTAAGTGAGAACTTACTGTATTCAAACATATGTAAATATTCAGTACAGTGGGCCAGGCACAGTGGCTCATGCCCATAATCTTAGCACTTTGGGAGGCCAAGGCAGGAGGATCGCCTGAGCCCAGGAGTTCAAAACCAGCCTGGGCAACATAGCAGAACTCGTCTTTACAAAAACTTAAAAATGCGTCTGAGTCTCAGCTACTCAGGAGGCTAAGGGAAGAGGATAACGAGCTCAGAAGTTTAAGCCTGCAGTGAGCCATGTTTGCATCACTGCACTCCACCTTGGGCATCAGAATGAGACCTTGTCCTAAAAAATAAATATATATTCAGTACACTGTCAGTAGAGATAATCTATACATCTTATCTCTGCTGTCCTTTCTGTATCCACAGTTTTCTTGCAGCAGCTTCTAAGTATTTATTGAATCAATTTTCTCCTCTCCAGACTTTCTCTTTTGCTCTGGCTTAGGCTATTTGTTTCCAACTTTTGCATGGACTGTGACAGAGTCTTCAAATTAATCTCTGTCTCCAGTTTTATCCCTAACTGGATAAACCCAAAACACTTCCAGTACTAAACAATGAAATAAATGTGAGCTCTATATACATTTTAGAAAGATTTATAAAAACAAGTAAGATAATTCACCAAGTCCCTCACATAAAAAAACGCAATACTCATTGTGTTACTTTCTGCCTAAAACCTTATTTTGCCAAAGATGGGGGAGACCTTTCGATGATCTGGCCCTCCAATTTCATTCTCCTCCCTCCTTTCCTTGCCCTGTATGTTACACCAACACTAAATTACTTGTTGAACCCCATTTAGATGTATTGTTTCTTATTGCCATTTCTTTATTCATGCTGCCTTCTCTACTTGCTTGTAACCTGCCCTTTACCAAAATAAAAATGAGAGATGTGGTGTATTAGGAAAGACATTAAACATTTCTGTTTTCTTTCTCAGAAAAATGAACTGAATATGTATCTTTATTTTCTTTCTTTTAAGGGATGTTGCTGGCTGGTTTTATGATTAGGAATGTTCCATTCATCAGTAAACATGTCCATGTCGATAGCACGTTGTCTTCAGTTTTAAGAAACATTGCCCTTACTGTTATTCTAATACGAGCTGGACTTGGACTTAATCCACAGGTAGATTTACAATTATAAATTGAGTAAGCTTATTTCAAAATTTTGAGGATGGTGGGAAAGAAAAAGAGGCAAAAATTTTATTTACTTGTTCCAAGAGGAGTCTGTAAACAAACCTAAGATAAAGAAAAAAAGGAAGGTGAGGTGGATCCTGCCTGTAATCCACAAAAATTAGCCAGGTTGGTGGCATGCACCTGTAATCCCAGCTACTTGGGAGGCTGAGGCAAAAGAATTGCTTGAACCTGGGTGACAGAGGTTGTAGTGAGCTGAGATAGTGCTACTGCACTCCAGCCTGGATAACAGAGCGAGAGACTCCGTCTCCAAAAAAAATAAATAAATAAAAAGGAGAAAAAGACTGTAGAAATAATGGCACTTTAAGTTCTATTTTTAGCCACCATTATCACTGATATGAAGAGAACTGAACTGACTGTGTTGTAAAGTCTTTATTAGAAATCACCTTTAATCATTTGCACAGAGATCAATGTCTCTTATGTAGCCACTATGTTATTTGGGAAGCTCTTCTATGGAGAACTATGTACTTTTCAGTTAACATAGGATAAGAAAAATCTTATAGAAGTCTTTTTCTTTTTTTAGGGAAGGTAAGGATTTCAGTAATTTTTTTTCATGACATTTTCTCCACAGAATTATGTTCCTGATTATTTTTGTATTATTGTAAAATCTAATCTTTTAAAGTATTTCTTAAAATATTACAATCTAGGGACCATAAATCCCATCTTTAAGAAGATGACTATTCATCAGTATGATAGTTACTCAAATAAATGTGCCAAATATGCTTTAATAGAAATATCTCAAGAGCATAAACAATTATAGCCAATGAGATTATATTTTCCAGTAGAAAGTAGGAACCAAGGAGAAAATTGAAAAGTTCTCCCTTTTAAAATTAATTATGCAGTTTTTAAGTGATTTTCTTTGGCATGTTGGGATTCTATTTATAATTATTAAGTTAATCAAACAGTTCATCTCTAAAAGTTAACTGATGAGAAAACACTAATAGGTCACTATCATTATACTATTGATTAAGAAAGTTAAGGAAGGTACAAATAGCTATTTAATCATAGTAAAATTGATCTTTTAATAATTAAAATACAATAATATTTTATGAGACGAAATTGTTTATAATCCAATCTATGATGACATATAAAATATAATTTTATATGTTCCAAGTCTAATGGGACTGTATGTTGAAATGAGATTTCATTTAGTGAAAGCTTCTCATGAAAAAAACTTTATATTTTGATATTTGTTTACATAATTTTCTTATTGGCCATTGTAAATGTATCTAAGTATGACTCTTTTGTATTTTAGGCTTTGAAGCAATTGAAGGGAGTTTGTTTCAGATTGGCAGTAGGTCCATGCCTTATAGAGGCAAGTGCAGCCGCTGTTTTTTCCCACTTCATTATGAAATTTCCCTGGCAATGGGCATTTCTATTAGGGTAATTTCTTTCTCATTTTTTAAATGAAAATATTCAATTAAGGATGCTTGGTTAAAATTGTTAAAATATTCAGAATGGTTTATAGAAAAGCTCTATTAAAATTCTTTTCACAGTGTTGAAAACCTTGGAAACCTGTTGATTAAAAGCAGAGCCATGTCCCAAATTGTATCAGATTTTTAACAAACATTCATGTCCTCTAAATGTATATCATCAATAATATTCACATGATCAGTTTATTCCTTTTCATCTGTATTATAACATATCTGTATGTTTTAATCTATCTAATGGCCTCTTCCTCATAACTATATGTAAATACAGTTGCACATTTCATATATGTGTATGTGTATATATATATTTGAGAAACATTTTATATAAACACAGGTGTATAAATATGAACTTTCTCATTTTAAAGAAAACAAGCAAAGAAAAACTCTTGCCATATATCCAGTGCCCCATCTATCTTTATCTACCATCCATTTGCCTTACATTTGAATTCCTCAAAATAAGTCTGTAATTACTGTCTCTAGATCCTAACTCCTTTTCATTTTTCAATTCATTAACTTTTGTCTCTGCTTATCCATTCCAATGACACTCATAGCAAAGTTCATCCATTACATAGTTACTAAGAAATCCAGTGAATTTTTAAATTAATGTTTATGATAAAATACCCAAATGCAATTTTCTTTTAAAAATTAGAACTTTATAAATAAAGGAGAAATGACCTCTGACTATGCCTTCAAATCATAATACCCATACCTCTACCCAAAGTGACAACTCTTAGGAGTTTTATCCTTCTTCAGTTTTTATTTTAGGTTCAAGGGGTACATGAGCAGGTTTTTTATATGGATAAATTACATGTCACAGGGGTTTGGAGTGCAGATTGTTTTGTCACCCAGGTAATAACACTCAATAGGTAGTTTTTCTATCCTCACCCTCCTTCCACCCTCCACCATCCACTCTCAAATTCACCTAGTGACAATTGTTCCCTTCTTTCTGTCCATGTGTACTCAGTGTTTAGCTCCCACTTATAAGTGAGAATATGGGATATTTGCTTTCCTGCTCTTGTGTTAATTCACTTAGGATAATGGCCTCACTCCATCCATGTTGCTGCAAAGGACATGATCTCATTCTTTCTTATGGCTCTGTATTATTCTGTGGTGTATTTATTTGTGCCACATTTTATTTATCCAGTTCACCATTGATGGCATTTAGGTTGATTCCACGTCTTGGTATTTGGTTACACGGAAAAGATTTTTAGTGGTAATTTTGGAGAATCTGAGATTTTGGTGCAACGATCACCGCAGCAGTGTACACTGCACCCAAGATGTAATCTTTTATCCCTTACCCCCTCCCGCCTTTTCCTCCCAAGTCCCCAAAGTTCATTCTATCATTATTATGCTTTTGCATCCTCATAGCACAACTCCCACTTATGAGTCAGAACATACAATGTTTGATTTTTCATTCCTGAATTACTTCACTTAAAATAATGGTCTCCAATTCCTTCCAGGTTGCTGTGAACGCCATTATTTCACTCCTTTTTATGGCTGAGTAGTGTATATATATAATATTTTCTGTATATGTATATATATGTATATATATAATATTTTCTGTATCCATTCATTGATTGATGGGCATTTGGGCTAGTTCCAAATTTTGCAATTGCAAATTGTGCTGCAATAAACATGTGTGTGCTAGTGTTTTTTCATATGACTTCTTTTCTTCTGGGTAGATACCCAGTAGAGGGACTGCTGGATCAAATGGTAGATCTACTTTTAATTATTTAATGAATCTCCATACTCTTGTCCATATGATTGTACCAGTTTACATTCCCCCCAGCAGTGTAAAAGTGTTCCCTTTTTAACACATCATGGCAACATTTATTTTTTATTTTTTGATTATGGCTATTCTTGGAGGAATAAGATGTTATTGCATTGTGGTTTTGATTTGTATTTCCCTGATAATTAGTAATGTTAAGTATTTTTTCATGTTTCTTGGCCATTTGTATATCTTCTTTTGGGAATTGTCTATTCATATCCTTAGCCCACTTTTTGATAGGATAATTTGTTTTCTTCTTGCTGATTTGTTTGAGTTCTTTATAGATTCTGGATATTAGTGCTTTATTGAATGCATAGTTTATAAAGATTTTTTCCCACTCTATAGATTGTCTTTTTACTCTGTATTTTTTTTTTTTTTTTTTTTTTTTTTTTTTTTTTTTTTTTGCTGTGCAGAAACTTTTTAGTTTAATTAAGTCCCATCTATTTATCTTTGTTTTTGTTTCCTTTGCTTTTTTGGGTTCTTGGTCATGAAGTCTTTGCCTAAGCCAGTGACTGGAAGGGTATTTCCAATGTTACCTTCTGTAATTTTTATGGTTTCAGGTCTTAGATTTAAGTCTTTGATCCATCGTGAGTTGATTTTTGCATAAGGTGAGAGATGACGATCCAGTTTTATTCTTCTACATGTGGCTTACCAATTATCCTAGCACCATTTGTTGAATAGGGTGTCCTTTCCCTACTTTATGTTTTTGTTTCCTTTGTTAAAAATCAGTTAGCTTTATTTCCTGGTTCTCTATTCTCTTCTGTTGGTCTGTGTGCCTATTTTTATACCAGTATTATGCTGCGTTTGTGATTATAGCCTTATAGTATCGTTTGAAGTCAAGTAATGTGATGCATCCACATTTGTTCTTCTTGCTTAGTCTTGCTTTGGATATGTAGGCTACTTTTGGGTTCCGCATGAATTTTAGGATTACCTTTTTTAGTTTGGGGAAGCATGACGATGTAGATTGCTTTTGGCAGTATAGTCATTTTCACAATATTGATTCTACCCATCCATGAGCATGTGATGTGTTTCTGTTTGTTTGTGTAATCTATGATTTCTTTCTTCAGTGTTTGTAGTTTTCATTGTAGAGGTCTTCCACCTCCTTGGTCAGGTATATTCCTAAGTTTGTTTGTTTGGGATTTTTTTCTTTGTTTTTGTTTTGTTTTGCAACTGTTGTAAAAGAGGTTGAGATCTTGATTTAATTCTCAGTTCAGTCACCATCAGTGTATACCAGTGCTACTGGTCTGTGTACATTGATTTTGTATCCTGAAACTTTACTGAATTCATTTATCAGATCTAGGAGCTTTTTGGATGAGTCTTCTGGCTTTTCTAGTTATACAATTATATCATCATGAACAGCAATAGTTTGACTTCCTCTTTACTGATTTGGATGCCCTTTATTTCTTTCTCTTGCCTGATTGCTCTGGCTAGGACTTCTGTGTTGAATAGAAGTGGTGAAAGTAGGCATGCTTGTCTTGTTCCAGTTCTTGGGGGGAATGCTTTCATCTTTTCCCCATTCAGTATAATGTTGGCTGTGGGTTTTTCATAGATGACTTTTATTACCTAAGGTATGTCCCTTCTATGCCAACTTTGCTGAGAGTTTTAACCATAAGGGAATGCTAAATTTTGTCAAATGCTTTTTCTATATATGTTTGGTGATTATGTAATTTTTGTGTGCTTTTTGTTTGTGTTTGTTTTTTTTGTTTTTCTTTTTTTTTCTTTCTTTCTTTTTTTTTTTTTTTTTTTTTTTTTTTTTTGATATAGAGTCTTGCTCTGTTGCCCAGGCTAGAGTACAGTGGCCCAATCTCACCTCACTGCAACCTCTGCCTCCCAGGTTCAAACAATTCTTATGTGCTTCAGCCTCCAAAAGACCTAGGAGTAGCTCCCCAAGCTCGCCAGCATCTGTTACTTTTTGACTTTTTAATAATAGTCATTCTGCCTCTTGTGAGATTGTATCTCATTGTAATTTGTTTTGCATTTCTCTAGTGATCAGTGATGTTGAATATTTTTTCATATGCTTCTTGGCCACGTGTTTTTCTCCTTCTGAGAAGTGTCTGGTCCTGTCCTTTGCCCAGTTAATGGGCTGTTAGGTTTTTGCTTGCTAATTTTTCTAAGTTCTTTTTGGATTCTGGATGTTAGACTTTTGTTGACTGCATGGTTCACAAATATTTTCTCCCATTCTGCAGGTTGTTTGCTGATTATTTCTTTTGCTGTGCAGAAGCTCTTTAGTTTAATTAGGTCCCATTTGTCAATTTTTGTTTTTGTTGCAATTGCTTTTGGCATCTTCATCATAAAATGTTTTCCAGAATTAAAATTTCTAGGATATGTCCAGAATGGCCTGTGTCCAGAATGGTATTTCCTAGGATATATTCCATGATTTTTATAGTTTGGCTTTACATTTTAAGAATTTTTTTTGAGATGGAGTCTCACTCTGTTGCTTGAATGCAGTGGCCCAATCTCAGCCCACTGCAACCTCCACCTCCCGGGTTCAAATGATTCTCCTGCCTCAGCCTCTTAAGTAGCTGTGACTACAGGCACGCACCACCACACCCAGCTAATTTTTGTATTTTTAGTAGAGGTGAGCTTTCACCATGTTGGCCAAGATGGTCTTGATCTCTTGACCTCATTATCCACTGCCTTGGCCTCCCAAAGTGCTGGGATTACAGGCGTGAGCACCACGCCCAGCCACATTTTAAGTCTTTAATCCATCTTAAGTTGATTTTTGTAAACTGTGAAATGTATGGAGTCCAGTTTCAATTTTCTGCATATGGCTAGCGAGTTATCCCAGAACAATTTCTGAATAGGGATTCCTTTCCCCATTGCTTGTTTTTGTCAAATTTGTAGAAGAGCAGATGGCTATAGGTGTGCAGCTTTATTTCTGGGTTCTGTAACCTGTTTCATGGCTCTGTGTCTGTTTTTGTTCCAGTACCATGCTGTTTTGGTTACTGAAGCATTGTAGTATAGTTCAGAGTCAGGCAGTGTGACACTTTAGACTTTGTACTTTTTGCTTAGGATTGTTTTGGCTATTTGTGCTCTTTTTTGACTTCAAATGAATTTTAGAATGCTTTTTTTAATTCAGTGAAAAATGTCATTGGTAGTACAATAGGCGTAGCATTGACTCTGTAAACAGCCTTGTGCAGTATGGCCATTTTAATAATATTGCTTCTTCCTATCTGTGATCATGGAATGTTTTCCTTTTGTTTGTGTTGTCTCTGATTTCTTTGAGCAATGGTTTGTAATTTTTCATTGTAGAGATCTTTCACCTCACTGCTTAGTTGTATGCCAAGGTATTTTGTGGGTTTTTTGTGGCTATTTTGAATGGGACTGCATTCTTGATTTGGTTCTCAGCTTGGATGTTGTTGGTGCATAGAAATGCTACAGATTTTGTACACTGATTTTTGTAACCTGAAACTTTGCTGAAGTCGTTTGTCAGATCTAGGAGCTTTTGAGAGGCTACTAAGGGGTTTTCTTGGTATAAAGCGTTTCATCTATGAAAAGGCACAATTTGACTTCCACTTTTCCTACCTAGATGTCTATGTTTCTTTCTCTTGCCTGACTGCTCTGGGTAAGACTTCCAGCACTATGTTGAATAGGGGTAGTGAAAGTGGGCATCTTTGTTTTGTTTCAGTTCTCGAAGGGAATATTCCAGCTTTTTCCCATTCAGTATGATCTTGGCTATGGGTTTGTCATAGACGGCTCTAATTATTTAGAGGTATGCTCCTTCAGTATCTCATTTGTTTAGGGTTTATATCATGAAGGGATGTTTTTATTTTTACTTCTGTTTATATGATGAATTACATGTGTTTATTTGTATATGTTGAACTAAACTTGCATCCCAGGGATAAAGTTTACTTAACCATAGTGGACTAACTTTTTGATGTGCTGCTGGATTCAGTTGCCTTGTATTGGCCTGAAGTTTTCTTTTTTTGTTGTGTCTCTGCCAGGTTTTCATATCTAAATGATGCAGGCTTCATAAAATGAATTAGAGAGGTATCAGCGACTTTTTATTACTCATTCAGTTTCAGAACTCATTATTGCTTTGTTCAGGGTTTCAATTTCTTTCTAGTTTAATCTTGAGAGTTTGTGTTTCCAGAAATTTACCCATTTCTTGTAGGTGTTCTACTTTGTTTGCATAAAGGTGTTCATAATAATGTCTGAAAGTTTTTTGTATTTCTGTGTGATTGGCAATAATGTCCACTTTTGTCATTTCTGATTGTGTTTTTTAGATCTTCTCTTTTTTTCCCCCCTTTATTGGTCTAGTTAGTGACCTGTCAAATTTATTTATTTTTTCAGAGAAACAGCTTTTAGTTTTATTTATCTTTTGTATGGATTTTCATTACTCGATTTCATTCCATTCTGCTCTGGTTTGATTATTTCTTTTCTTCTGCTAACTTTGGGTTGGTTTCCTGTTGATTTTCTATTTTCTCTAGGTGTGATGTTAGGTTGTTAATTTAAGATCTTTCTAACTTTTCAATGTGGGCATTTAGCACTAAACTTTTCCCTTAACACTGCTTTGCCTGTGTCTTAGAGAGTCTAGTATGTTGTATCTTTGTTTTAACCAGCTTCAAAGAATTTCTTGGTTTCTGCCTTAATTTTATTGTTTCCCCAAAAGTTATTAAGGCACAGGTTGTTTAATTTCAGTGTGATTGTATGGTTTTGAGAGTTCTTCTTAGTGTTGATTTATATTTTTATTGCACTGTGCAGTCCAACAGTGTGGTTGGTATGATTTCAGGGTTTTTTTAATTTGTTGAAAATAAATTTATGGTTTTTAGTGTGGTCAGTTTTACAGTATATGCCAGGTACAGGTGAGAGGAATATATATTCTGTGGTTGTTGGGTGGAGAGTTCTGTAGATGGCTATTAGATCCATTTAGCCAAGTGTTGACTTAAGGTCCTGAATATCTTTGTTCATTTTCTGTCTCATGATCTATCTAGTACTATCAGTAAGTCTCCCACTATTATTCTCCGGTTATCTAAGTCTCTTTATAGGGGTCTATGAACTCATCTTATGAATATGAATATTTCAGTTTGGGGCACATATATTTTTCAGACAATTAATTCTTCTTGTTGAATTAAACCATTTATCATTAGGTAGTGCCCTTCTTTGTCTTTTTTTATTGTTGTTGGTTTAAAATCTGTTTTCCCTGAAATTAAAATAACAATGCTACCCTTTTTTGTTTTGCATTTACTTGGTAGATTTTTTCCATCCCTTTACTTTGAGCCAATGCATATTGTTGCATATGAGATGGTCTCTTGACAGCACAATACAGCTGGGCTTTGCTTCTTTATCCAACTTGCCACTCTGTGACTTTTAAGTGAGGCATTCAGGCTGTTTACATTCAAAGTTAATATTGATATTTATGGATTTGGTCCTATCATTATGCTGTTAGCTGGTTATTACATAGACTTGATTATGTAATTGCTTTACAGTGTCGATGGTCTATGTACTTAAATGTATTTTTGTGGTGGCCATTAACAGCTTGCAATAGCTACATGAGTAAACTTGGAAGCAGATCTTCTCCCACCCCCACCTGCCTCATGAGAAAACTTAAGTCAACGCATACAGCTAAGCCATATCCACATTCCTGACCCACAGAACTCACTAGACAATAAATATTTGTTGTTTGAAGCTCCTGTGTTTAAGAATGGTTTGTTAAGCAAAATGAGAAAAATAATACAGCAGGTGATTACAATGTGCAGCAGAGTTCAGGAATCACTGAACTAGGCTGATATGTGGTCTTAGAGAAGACTAGTGTCTTCTTGAATCCACAGGGAAATCTGTGGCATAAATTGCACCATAGAGGTTGTATAGCCAGAAGCAAATGGGCAAAATGATTATACCCTCACATCAGTCAGTCATTGGCAGATGCTGTCTGGAGGGAAGGTAGAGGAGTGCAAAACCTCCCTAGTATACCCAAGTAGGTGCTTGTCAGCAGGGCAAGGGTTCTAGAAACCTGCAGATGTTAGCAGCCAACAAGCAGCAGCTGTTCACTGACCTCGTAAATGGGTTCTGGCAGGAACACCAAGAGCATTTCTACACAGGATATACTTCAGCCTTTATAAAATAAATGTAGAAGAGATGAGGCAAATTCTGATTAAGATATGCCAACAGAAGGTAATCTGAGTAGGAGTCTCTCCATTCCTCATGGGTGTCGTCACCCACTCCAGAAATTTTCTCATTTGCCTTTATAACTTAGATGGCCACACTTGTTTTTTGGGGCAGACATCTCTGTTCCTTCATTCCTTACTTACTCAAGAAGTAGGAAATGTGTGGAAGGAAGATTTTTCTGGCTATTCTTACAGTGATACTCCAAATAATCAACAATTTGGTTTCCCCAAAGGTCTCTCTTGCTCCCAGAATCTGCCATTTCAGGGTTTGGAGTACTTTTAGAAGCACACATATCTTTTGAAGCAATCTTACTTACACACATTTTGGTTTATGGTTTCCTTTTTTCAATCCTAAATTGTCTGTCTCTTATCTTCCTGGGATATATTTAGTTTCCTGTCCATTGACGATTCACCTTTTGCTTTCTAGTTAGGTTATGAATTTTTCTATTACTTTTACATCTTCACTTCAAAGGATTTAGGAATCGAGGGAGAGGCTGCAACCTATGCTCAGCCCAACATTTTAAACCATATCTGTATAACATTTTAGCCAGCACTAAACAATGCATGAAAAGTTTTATAAACATTAAATTGCATTCACTCAAATTTGAAATTCTTCTAAAGTAAAGTTATTATAAATAACTTGTACTTATAAAACACTATTTGATTTAAAAGATACTTTAAAATTAATTTTCAGTATTTCTTTCAGTTTTGTTCTAGGTGCTGTCTCTCCTGCTGTTGTTGTCCCTTCCATGTTGCTGTTGCAAGAAAATGGATATGGTATTAACAAAGGCATTCCAACCTTACTAATGGCTGCTAGCAGTATGGATGACATTCTGGCTATCACTGGATTCAATACATGCTTGAGCATAGTCTTTTCCACGGGTAAACAAGAAAATGTAACAACCACCAGATCATTCATGACCCTTTATGTTAGTTCTTTAAACAGAGTTTCTGGCTTTGCATCTTCATGTATTAACCAAGACTTTTCAATTTTACATCTTTTTAATCTCCATAGAAAATTCATGCTAGATCAAGGAAGATATTTCAGTGGCTTAGATACCACTACTTAACATACATAATCTCATTTTAATAATGATGTTACAATTAATTTGATTAAACCATATTATTACTATTTATCTGTTTATGTTGCTTTGGAATTTTATCAGTTCTCATTAGAAAAAAATAAGCAACACTATTATTTGTACTACTAATATTTTTTATTTTTTTTGGAGACGGAGTTTCGCTCTTGTTACCCAGGCTGGAGTGCAATGGTGCGATCTCGGCTCACCACAACCTCCGCCTCCTGGGTTCAGGCAATTCTCCTGCCTCACCCTCCCGAGTGGCTGGGATTATGCGCCACCATGCCCAGCTAATTTTTTGTATTTTTAGTAGAGACGGGGTTTCACCATGTTGACCAGGATGGTCTCGATCTCTTGACCTCGTGATCCACCTGCCTCAGCCTCCCAAAGTGTTGGGATTACAGGCGTGAGCCACCGTGCCCGGCACTACTAATATTTTAATAGGCATTTTTGAAATGTGCCTTTTTGGCCATCCAAATAAACAACTAGTTGCTCTATTATAAGACAGCATAAACATACAGAGCTGGGATAGCTACATGCCTTTTTGGTAGTGTTAGGACAAGATCCTGCACCAGTTCTAACTCCCAAGGTGATATTGGATCTGAAATATCACTACAGAAATTGTGAAAGTAAACATTTCCACAGTTAGTAATGCTTTAATTATCTGCAATGTTTGAAATTGAGTTTCTTCTGTATTATTGAAGCACTAATTTTTTTTTTTTTTTTTTTTTTTTTTTTTGAGACAGAGTTTTGCTCTTGTTGCCCAGGCTAGAGTACAATGGTGCAATCTCGGCTCACTGAAACCCCCACCTCCCAGGTCCAAGGGATTCTTCCTGCCTCAGCCCAAGTAGCTGGGATTACAGGCATGTACCACCACACCTGGATGATTTTGTATTTTTAGTAAAGAAGAGGTTTCTTCATGTTGGTCAGGCTGGTCTCAAACTCCCAACCTCAGGTGATCCTCCCACCTCAGCCTCCCAAAGTGCTGGGATTATGGGCGTGAGCCACCACACCTGGCCCAGAGAACAGCTTTCTTTCAAAAGAGAGGGGCACCTGAACGGGACTTCTAACACTAAAGTATTTTTAAGTTGAAAAGTAATATATATCGTTTCTCTTAAAATCAGAAAATATAAATAAACAAGGAAAAGGGGGAAAGTTAAAAATAAAACCTGCAATAGTCACATCCAGAAAAAAAAAAATCGTTGCCTTCTGAACCTTTTGATATAAATCCACCCAAATGTCCTACTCTTCCCCTCCCTTCCCCTCCCCACCCCTCCTCTTACCTTCTCCCCCTCCCTATCTGTCAAATATTCTTATAAAAATCAGTGAATCTTGACCATATGTTCTTATAACCTGAATTATTTTGTGCTTAACTGTATATCACAAACATGTTTCTTTTCAGTAAATACATTTTGCTATCATTTTTAATTGTTGTTTAGCTTAATGGAAGACTGTTCAATGTGCTGCATCATAATTACTTATCTTGTTCAAAATTGAAGTTGACTCCAATATTTACTATTAAAATAATACTTAGTCATGCTGCTATAAAAATATTTTTAAAAATTAAAAAATTGGCAGGTACAGTGGCTCATGCCTGTAATCCCAGCACTTTGGGAGGCCGAGAAAGGTAGATCACTTGAGATCAGGACCAGTATGGCCAACATGGTGAAACCCCATCTCTACTAAAAATACAAAAATTAGCCAGGCATGGTGGTGGGCACCTATAATCCTAGCTACTCAGGAGGCTGAGGCAGGAGAATCACTTGAATCTAGGAGGCAGAGGCTATAGTGAGGTGGAGGCTGTAGTGAGCCAAGATTGTGCTACTGCACTCCATCCTGGGCAACAGAATGAGACTCCATCTCAAACAAATATTTCTTAATTTAAAAAAATAATACTTGATTGAACATATAAAGAAATACTTGTACCTAACCTTCATATTTTTTATGGAAATTTTAAGGTTTTCTACATAAAAGATTATACCATCTGCAAAGAGAGATAATTTTCTTTTTTTTTTTTTTCTTTCCAATTTGGATGACTTTTATTTCTTTTTCTTGCCTAATTAGTCTGGGAAAGATAATCCAGTACCTTGAGAATAGAAGGAGAGAGAGAGTGGACAGTCTTGCCTTGTTCTTGACCTTAGGAAGAAAGCTTTCAGTTTTTCTCCATTGAGTATGATGTTGGCTATGGCTTTTCATATATGGCTTTTATCATGTTGAGGTATTTTGCTTCTCTTCCTAGTTTATTGAGTGTTCTTATCACAAAAGGGTATTGGATTTGTCAAATACTTTTTCTGCATTAAATGAGATGATTATGTGATTTTGGCCCTTCACTCTGTTAATGTGCTGTATTACACTGAATAATTTTTGTGTGAACCCATACAAAAATCATTTTGCATCACTTTGCATTTCAGAGATAAATCTCACTTTGTTCATGCCGTTTACTACTGTTTATATGTGGTTGAATTCTATTTGCTAGTATTGTGTTAAGGAGTTTTGCATATTCATCAGAGATATTAGTATGCAGTTTTCTTATAGTATCTTTGTTTATATTTGATGTCAGAGTAAAACTGGCTTCATAAAATGAGTTTGGAAGTATTTCCTCCTCTTCAAATTTTTAGAAGAGTTTGAGAGGAATCAGTGGGTTTTTTGTATGTTTGTTTCTGATACAGGGTCTCACTTTGTCACCCAGGCTGGAATGCAGTGCTCGAACATGGCTCACTGCAACCTCAACCTCCAAAGCTGAAGCAATCCTTCTACCTCAGCCTCCTGAGTACCTGGGACTACAAGCACACACCACTATGCTCAGGATAATTTTTTTTCTTTTTTGTAGAGATGAGGTCTCACTATGTTGCCCAGGGTTGGTCTCAAACTCCTGTACTCAAGCAGTCCTCCACCTTGACCTCCCAAATTGCTGGGATTACAGATGTGAGTCACCACACCCAGCTAGGAATTGGTGTTAATTCTTTAAATATTTCGTAGAATTTTGCAGTGAAGTCATCTGGTCCTGGGCTTTTCTTTGCTGGGAGGTTTTTGATTCCTGGTTCAGTTACTAGTTATAAGTCTATTCAGATTTTTTATTTTATGACTTAGTCTTGATAACTTGCATGTTACTAGGAATTTGTTCATTTCTCCGAGGTTATCCAATTAGTCAGTATATAATCATTCATAGTAGACTGTTAGAATTCTTTTTATTTCTGTAACATCTGTTGCAATGTCTCCTCTTTTGTTTCTAAAAGAAGTTGAGTCTTCTTTATTTTTTTCTTAGGTATCCTAGCTGATGATTTGTCAATTTTGTTGAACTTTGAAACTACTAGTTTTACTGGTTTTTTTTCTATTCTCTGTTTTATTTATTTCTGCTCTAGAGGCCTTTTGTTTTTGTTTTTGTTTGTTTGTTTTGGTTTTTTTGAGACGGATTTTTGCTCTTGTTTTCAGGCTGGAGTGCAATGGCACGATCTCGGCTCACTGCAACCTCTGCCTCCCAGTTCAAGTGATTCTCCGGCCTTCACATCTGGAGTAGCTGAGATTACAGACATGCGCCACCACACCAAGCTAATTTTGTATTTTTTAATAGAAACCCAGTTTCTCCATGTTGGTCATGCTGGTCTTGAACTTCTGACCTCAGGTGATCTGCCCACCTTGGCCTCTCAAAGTGCTGGGATTACAGGTGTCAGCCACCATGCCCAGCCTTCTGCTCTAGACTTTATTGTTTTCTTCCTTCTGCTAACATAGACTTGAGTTTGTTCTTCTTTTTCTAGTTCCTTCAGGTATAAAGTTAAGTTGCTGATTTTAGATCTTTCTTCTTTTCTAATGTAGGTAGTTAGATATATAAACTATCCTCTTAATATTGATTTTGCTGCATTCCAGAAGCTTTGGAATGTTGTGTTTTCAATTTATTTGTCTCAAGACATTTTCTAATTTTCCTTGTGACTTATTCTTTGATCATATATTAACCAGGGTTCTCCAGAGGGTCAGAACCAATAGGAAATATAGATATAGGTATAGACACATATACATGCATATAAAAGAGACTATATTTACATATATATGAAAGGTAATTTATTAAACAGAGTTGGCTCATATGATTACAAAGGCAGTCCCACAATAGGCCATCTACAAGCTGGGAAATGAGAGAAACCTACAGCATGGCTCCCAAGGAAGCCAGTGACATGGCTCAGTCCAAATCTGAAAGTCTCAAAACCAAAGAAGCTGACAGTGTAGTCACTAGTATGAGGCCAAAGGCCTGAGAGTTCCCAAAAGGCTGCTGAATCAAGTCCCAGGGTCCAAAGGCCAAAGAACCTAGAGTTTGATGTGCAAGGGCAAGAGGAGAAAAAGGCATACTGCTCCAGAAGACAGAGAGTTCATAAAAAAGAAATCCAAGCAAGCAGAATGTTCCTATTCTTCGCCTTTTTGTTCTAGCCACACTTGCAACCAATTGCATTATGCCCACCCACATTGAGGATCGGTCTTTCTTTCCTAATCCACTAACTCATGCATCATTCTCCTCTAGCAGCACCTTCACAGATATACCCAAACACAATGCTTCATCAGCCATCTAAGCATCCCTCAATCAAACTAACAATTAATATAAACCACACAGGCCAATCAGTTGTTTAAGAAAGTGTATTTTTGTAATTTCCACGTATTTATTACTTTTCCTTTTTCCTTCTGCTATGAATTCCTTATTTCATTTCATTGTAGTCAGAAAAGATACTTAGTATAAGTTTAGTTTTCTTAAATTTTTAAAAACCTGTTTTGTGGACTAGCATGCCATCTGTCCTGGAAAAGGCTTGGTATGTACTTGAG